AGAAAATATCACTATGGATCCTACTATATAAAAAGTAGAATATGACAAAGAACTATATGCTCATAAGTTTGTTAGGTAAAGGAAAAAGCCCATGGAAGACACAATCAAAGCGCCTATAAGAAGAAATAGAAACTAAATAGTACTATTTCTGACAAAAGTGAATTTGTACATTTGAAACCTTGTCTCACACACACACAAAAAGTCTAGTACTAGGTGGCCTTGTTGATGAATTTTATCAGACATTTAAGGAAAAATATTACTAAGGACTGAAATAATAGCAGCCATTTGGGATGGAAGTCACTATTGAAGCCTGAATTTGTTCTGTCACACACACAGTGTTGCTTATAGGAATCATCCGGGATCTGCCTACCTTGTCTGGCACCAGGGATACAGAAGCCATTAAAACAGCCTCTACCCTCAAGGGGCCTCCCTCAAGCCAGTGGCCTGGTAGCAGATCTTCCATGACCTCAAAACAATCATCTTATTTAGCGGTGACCATATTTTTTCTCTTTAGGAGGGAAATCAGCTTTTTAAAGCATCATGGCATTGACATGTGGGGGCGGGGGGAGAAATCATAGAAAAATTTAATGCTCTTGGGCCCGGAAATTTAGCTCAACAGCATAAGTGCCTACCTTGCAAGTGTGTGGTCCTGAGTTTGATCCCCAATACCGATTTAAAAAAAAAAATTACAGCAGAAAATCTAGTGCTCTTGAAAAAGCCACTTTTTCCAGCAACAAGATCAAGAGAGCCTGTCAGGGCCTGAATCCCACTGGTACCGATCACTTCTCTTATTTTGAGACATGGCAATGATGTGAGGCAAGTGTCTAAAATCCTTTGCATGAGGATGGCTCAGCATATACAGATAATAAATGTAATATGTCACATAGCAGAAACAAGGACAAGCAACTCACATGATCCTCTCACCAGACCCAGAAAAGCCTTTGATACAATCCAACATTCATTCATGATAAAAAATACTGAGAAAGGAAAAATAGGACCTTATATCAATCTGATAAAAGCTATCTATGACATAATTACTGCCAGTGTCATATTAAAAGGGAAAAACCTAAAAGGCTTTCCTCTACAATTTATGATATACGGTCATGAAAGAAAAGACCCCTTAAAATAATGAGGAACCAGAAAGAAACAGTTCAAAGGCTAGAAGACAACAAAAAGATACATAATGTAAGAATAAAGCATGTGAGCGAGGAAGCAGGGGTAACCAAAAATGAACTACAAAGAATATTCACAGATATATTAAAGGAGGGACTGGGGATTTAGCTCAGTGGCATAAGTGCCTTCCTTGCAAGCGCACGGTCAAGAGTTCAATCCCCAATACCAAAAAAACAAACAAAAAAAACATATATTAAAGGAAAACCTCCCAAGCATAGGAAATAGAAATGATATCCAGATAAATGAGGCATACAGAACTCCAGCCACCTACAACCGAAGCAGATCTACACACAGACATATAATAATCAAGATTCCAGAAATCCACCAAAAGAACAGAATACTAAAAGCAGCCAGGGAAAAGATGACCTAAAATGGTAAAATTATCAAAATAACAACAGACTTATCAACACAAACTCTCAAATCAAGATGGGCCTGGGGGGAAATAGTCCAAGCCCTGAAAGAAAATAATTTGCAACCAAGACTGATATACCCAGAAAAACTCTCTCTCAAAACTGATGGAGAAATAAGATGTTTCTAAGACAAGGAGGAACTGTGGGAGTTCATGGCCACCAATCCAACCCTACAGAGAGTGCTGAAGGACATTCCAGAGAGAGAGGGGAAGGGATACCAGGATTCCAGCAACAGTGGCAGAGAGGCCTCAATGAATGGGGCAGACAGTGGAATGAGGGAGTAAGGTGGACAAATTATAGCAGTAAAGCGGAGTAGCAGACATGAAGCAGAGACAGTAAGCTATAATCTTTAGTATAGATAGCTTTGATACACTATAAAAAAAGGCAGAAGTCATTGTTAATAGTGTATCAGGATTTAAAAGTCACAGTAGTCTTATCGCTCTGTTTAGTTTAAATTTATTTTATTCCGGTCTGTCCACTTAGATTTGAGGGCACAGACATCTAACCCAAAAATAAATCCTGTATTACTTATATTGTCTTACTATGACTGATCTTATTTCTGTAATCTGATTTGTTAGACCATGGTTTTGCCTTGGCTGATTTTATTTGAATTTGGAATGCTTGATAGTATAAGTCTAAAAGTAGAGACAACAACTCTGAAGATGACAAGATGTAAAAGATATACATACCAGTTTTGATTATTAACAGCTTTCAAGTCCTACAATGTTTTCAAAGTTGTGTTTTTATAAAAATAGCTATGTAATACTATGTTTAACTATATTAAGCCTGATGATGTGGACAAGTCTATTGAAAATAACAAGAGAAAGCATAGTAACTACAGTAGATCACCTAATATTATGGTCTTATGTGTCTTTTTCATTGCATGTTTTTCTAGGAATTTGTTTTACTGTCTTGTTATGATCTGTTTTTCCCTATAGTACAGACAGGATAGATATACATGTAGAAATTCACACATGGGAAGAATTTTGTAAACTATTTATGAGAACAGATTATATAATGCAAGATGTAATGAACAGATACTCTGAAGAAGAAGAGACACTAAAATCCAATGCTAATTCTGTAGCATTATGATATAAAATCTAGCAATACTATTATTCACTGTTCAGAGTAATATTAGTCTAGTCTCTTAAGTTCAATTTCAGCATACATAAAGATAAGGACAGGGGCTGGGGATTTAGCTCAGCGGCATAAGCACCTGCCTTGCAAGCAGGCGGTCATGAGTTCTATCCCTAGTACCAATAAAAAGTTTTTTTAAAAAAACAGCTACTATGAAGAGAATGAGAGACACTGTGGTAGTCATTATTGTCTTCCCCAATGTCAAATCTTGAAGACCTAAAAAGCCTTCATCATCCTGTAATGATTTGATTAGTTCTATAGTATGCAGAATGTATTTAATGTGTGTGAAGATGGGGACAACTATTTGGAAGAAAACTAGAGACAATAAGATAGACAGTGAACATCTCCAGTGGAATTTCTTTGAAATCTGTATTTCTTTAAATTGTTTCTTTTTTTAACTGTTTTGATATGATTAATCTTACCCTCTTTAAGAAAAAAAACAAGTGTGTAGGACTGATAACCATTTACTAAGTTTTTGTTGCATCATTGAGCAGAACTGTTGGCAGGGTCACTATTTGAATGTCATTTTACATACTTTAATTTTGTAACCTGAACAACTATTTCTAAGATGACAATATGTAACTTATCAACTGGTAATTCCTTACTGTTTATTTTTGTGTAATTCTGTATTATTTCTACCCTTTTTTTCTCCATTTTTTGTTTCTTTCTCTTTAAATAAATTTTAAAAAAAAGGTTTTCCTCTACAATCAGAAACAAGGCAAGGATGTCCCCTGTCACCACTTTCTTCAGTGTGGTACTTGAAACAGCAGCCAGGCAGGCAAGATGCCCCATGGATGACTGAGACCATTGGCAGGACTGAACCCTATATAGAGTGTGTTTTTTCCATATGTACTTATTTATGATAAAGTTTAATCATGATCTCAGGAATAGCACTCACCTTAAAATGTATGAATTGTGCTGGGTGTGCTGGTACACACATGTAATCCCAATGCTTAGGCTGAGGCAAGAGGATCACTGTGAGTTTGAGGCCAGCCTGGGCTACGTAAGTGAGCTCAGAGCCAGCTGGACTACATAGTGAGAACCTGTCTCAACACACACACCCTGAAAATAAGTATGAATCATGTCTGGAATTTTTTCATTAATATTTTCAGACCATAGTTGACCCTGGACCACCAACACTGCAGAATGTAGAACCACCCTGCTGGGGAGCCTGCTGTGCTCTGACAGAAAGGAGCACTCACATCTGTAGCGGTAGGCATGTGACGTTTGTGAAAACACTGGAGGGGCTGTCTTCATCTGTCCCATAGATCGGAGAGCTTATACACAACAGTGTCCTTTTCTCCATTCTGGAGGCTAGAAAGTCCAGGACAAAAGCGGTGGCTTAGCATCTGTTGAAGGCCCGCTTTCTTGTTCATAGCTGGAGGCTGAATCCTCACCTGGTAGAAGGGACAGAGTCTCTCTTGGGGCTCTCGTAGGAGGCACAAATTGCATCCTGAGGTTTCCTTATTTGCAATTCTATCCCCTCCCTAAGGCCTACCTCTTAATGCCATCACTTAGGGGGTGAGAATTTCGACATTAGAGTTTGTGGGGGACACATTCATTCAGACCAAAGCACAAGCTGAGAGAAATGCACCACACACAATTCCAGTCTTCCCTAATGTTCACATTAAGACAAATACGGATTCCATCCTGTCAGAGCAAATGGGCCTGGCACCCCATTTCTTGGTTTTACTTTTGGGATCCACGGTTGAGGAGGGAACTTGGGACCAGCATCATCTCTTGGAGCCAGCCATCTTTGAGGCATCTGTCTACATCAGACAAAGCTCTTTTTCCCTCTGCAGTTGACCTTTGCAGTCATCCAACCTAGACATGAACTTTCCTTGAAATCTAGTTATTCCTGATGCAGGTAGGGGTCAACCTGAACCAACCTGCTAAGCGTGATCCTCTAGGAAAAGAGATTGCAATTGGTCTTTATGTTTCTGTTGTGGTTGTGATTTTCCCTGTCTTCACTGGGCATGTAGTTTTACAGAGAGCAAAAACCATGTGAACTTTCCATTTGGCAGGCATTAGCAGGAGCTAGAACTGTGCTATGGAGGGGCTGAGAGTGTGAGGGTCAGCGGGAGGCCCATCAGGTGAGACTCACAGCAGCGGTGACCCTGAGGCTGTGTCCCCAGCCTTCTCCGAGTCACCTCAAAGGTTCAGTTTCTGCCTTTGGCTCACCATCTCCCCTCACCCTGAGATCCGCTGTGCTGCTGAGGAGGGGAGAAGAGTGGGACTGGCTGGGGACAATGACAGCCACGTCTCTGGTTGTGCTTATAGGCGAACCCTGAATCAGCCTCTCATCTGTCTGTCGACTGACTGCCTGCGTCCCTTTCTGGGCCTCTCGCTGTGGTACCTCTTAGCAGGTAAGGGGAGTGATTTTCCTGTTCGGACGCACCATCCTCTCTGGAGAGAGACCTAGCTCTGCACCCACCTTCCCCTCCCCATCCCTCACCAACTTCCATTTCTGACATAGGGCTGTTGGGACATCTGAGTGGAGTGAGGTACAATGGCATGCACTTTCCGGAAGTTCTAAGTGCTGTGTCCTGAGTCAGGTCCAAAACAGCGCTGAGGATGAAACCACCTTTTCCTGGATAGCTACTGGGTTTGGAGCCACTGGTGCAGCCCTGGGCCACCTGTCCATGCAAATGCCTCCTGTGTGCCCTGAAGGGAAGACATTTCTAACCGTGCAGTGCCAGTGGAGGGCCCTGGCTTTTTCTTTTTGCCTCATCTTCTGGAAAGCCAGGCAGAGAGTCAGAATCCACAGGAGCTGGCAAATGTGCTTAGCTTCACTGCAGTTTCACTTTGCCCCAGGTTCTTTTCCTTCTTTGGGCCAGAGGGAGATGTATAGCACACACAGGTGTGAATGGAGACATAAACGGTATCACAAGTCCAGCATCCGGGTAGGCAGCAGAGGCAAGAAAAGCCCTTGGCTAGAGTGGGGTAACAGTACCTTGAAGCCTCCCCACAAGGTCTGTCTGGGAGGCAGAGGCAGGAGAATTGCAAGTTTGAGCCCAGCCTAAGCAACTTAACAAAACCGTGTCTCAAATAAAAATTAAAAAGGGCTGGGAATGTAGCTCAGTGTGAAGGCCATGGGTTCAATCCCCAGTACAACAACAACAACAAAAGCAAACAAACAAAAAAGCTTGGTCATCTATAGTGTTGTTTGGCAAAAAACATTTTCTTCCTGTGGCAGCTGTCCCTGAGTGACTTCCCAATCCGGTGGGGCAACCCCTTCCTCCCACCTCTCTCCCAGGTCAGGCAGGGGGCTGAGCTGGTTTGGGGAACATGTGGGTAAAGTCCTCTTCATGCCCTGGGTGGTGGGGCTGCAGATGCCCCCAGATTTCAGAGCCCACAGCTACACACACTTCTCCTTGTTGCCAGGTACAAATTCCCAATAAGATGAACACACACTGGCCAGCTCTGACTGAGGAGGCTGACTTGTCTTATAGCAAGAAAGTCTTGTTTAAAAATAAAAAATTTGCCCGTGAGTAAAAGAAATCACCATCGTGCCTCACTGGGCCAGAGAGTTGGCTCATTGATGGAAAGTCTGACCATCAAGGTCCTGCCTGCTGCCTCACTCTGTGCCTCAGGAGTCATTGTCACTTGTGTTGCTCTTTACAGTGGTCCGTCCTCAGTACTCACATTTTGATTGCTAGGTCTCCTCTGAACAGTTTTTCATTAGATGAGGTAACTGTAATCCAGGGCTTCTGCTTTCTCGGGGGACAGGTAGCATTACATGTTTTGTCTTAGTCACATAGCAGCAGTATGCATGAGGCTGCAGAGAATTTCCTTCCTTTCCAGAAGAGCCAGTTGGGCTTGTAAGAGAAGCCGTAGATGGCGGGAGGTAGGCGGAGTGGATTGGGATCTGTCTTATTATTGTGTTTCAGAGCTTCACTCCTAACCCTTTGCCTGTGGCTGCTTGCAGGGGGCGCAGAATGAAAGAGGGCATGTCCAATAACAGTACCACTAGCATCTCCCAGGCCCGGAAGGCCGTGGAGCAGCTGAAGATGGAGGCCTGCATGGACCGCGTGAAGGTGAGCATATGCAAACACTCGCCTTCTTCCAGGTGCAGCTGGGCCAGGTGCAGTCCATCCCAGGAGCATCCAGTCATACTCAGCAGGGAGACATTTGCAAACACTCCAGTGTTCTGGTCATGCCCAAGGATTAGGAGTGATGCAGAATTGTGTGTGTGATATCCAGAAGGAGATGCCAAAAAATAGATGCCTCTTGGTCTCAGCTCTGTTTAACTATATTGTCCTGCTAGTAAGCAGGAAGGAGAGTTGAACAACAAGGTTGGTCACTGGTGCTGTGGCTTCAAATCTAGACAGTATTGCGTATTTTGGTGGGACACTGCTGGGATGAGGCATTCATCTGTGTCTGTGTGTGTCACAGCTTCCTTGGAAGAAGGTGATAAAAGGTTCCAGCCACTAGGCATGTTCATTGGTGAGTGCAGGTCTCTTCATACTAGCAGAGCTACAGCAAAATAAAGCCACCATTTCTCCAGACGCCACTTAGAGGTGAGTGGGAGGCCAGGCAGGGCATGTGGCTCTGAAACACCCTGGGCTCGCAGCTGTAGAAGAGTTGGAAGGAGCCCTCCCAGGAATAACACCTGCAAAGTCAGCGCCATTGTGCCTGTGGTCTTTTGCAGAAGAGGGTCTTGCTGTGGCATCTGAATTACAAAGGAGAAACCATGACAGTGGTAGTGGGCAGCTTCCAAAGCCGCCTTCTGCCAAAGCCAGCCGTCCCTCCCCGTGGTTCATCATGCCCCCTGCACTGCTAGAATAGGACTGAATGGCACTGACTCCCCACTCTGTGTGGATAGTTATTTCTCCTGGGGCTTTGAGTTGCCAGCTACCCAAGGGAACAGAAAACTTGCACAGAAGGTGACATGCAAGTACATAGGACTGGGAAGGAATTCAGTGGGGTACAGATTAGTGTAAGTGGACCCATGTACCTTGAGCATCTACGTCTTACACATGTTATACCAGCTCTGCAATAGTTTGGATCTGGAATGCCCCCCAGCTGCCATGTGCTAAAGGCTTGGTGGGAGGTTTTAGATAACTGGGGGCCGTGCTTTCGAAGGGGACTGTGGGACTCTGGTCTCTTCTCTGTCTGTCCTGGCCATGAGATGAACGGCTTTGCTCTTCCATGTGCTTCCAGCATGGTGTGCTATCCCCACTTACACCAGCGGCCTAAACACACTCTGTTTACTCAGCATACACAGGCACTTCCAAAATTGGGAGCCAAAATAAACTTTTTCTAAACTGATCATCTCAAGTATTTGTTAGGATAACAGAAAACTGACTAATACAAATGACAGATCAGGTGTCAGTCATTGGTCAGCACCCAGAAAATGACTTAAAATGGAGAGGGCCCCCAAAGTGGAAAGGCTCTTAACCATAGTGCTATGAGTGTTCCGTGCTCCAGCAGCACAGTTAGGAGAGCGCTGCTGAGGGGCAAGGACACAGTGAGGCCCTTCCTGGGCTCCACTCTCAGCATGCATGGGACAGTAACACCGTGGCCAGACTTGTAAGTGGTGACTGCTCGTGGGCTGGCACTGGACAAGGAGAGACCAGTATGACCACACCATGGCCGTGTTAGCACCCAGGAAAGAGCTGAGGCACAGCCGGGGTGGGGACAAGTTGCACACAGGCACAATCACAGAACAACTGGGCATCAAGCTGAAGCCATGGGGTAACAGGCATTCGAGGTTGCATAATAATTCATTTAACTACCCTCTTATCCTTAGATGTTTCTCTTATTTCTGCTTTTGAATGTTGTCTTTAAGAAGTGCTTGCAAGCCCACTGGTGAGTAAAATGTGCATGTCTGATTGTTTCTGTAGGATACATTCCTAAGGACTGAAAATTGCTTCTTCAAAGGATACATACACACAGTGTTTGAATCTGTATCAAAGTTCTCTGTGAAAAGTGATACCAGTTTGTACTCTTAATAATAAACACATCTTTTTTCCCCAAATTCTTTTCCAAAACACCATTCTTTATGTCATAATGGTTTCATAAAAATCAAAATAGTACTATTCATAGTACTATTTTGATTTTTATGAGAGCTTACTATGTGCTGTTCTGGACAATTTTTATTAAATTCATGCAGTGCTCACAACAGTCCTATGAAGCCAGTGCTCCATTTTACAGAGGAAGAAACTGAAGGCTGTAGGCAGTAACTTGCCCCAAGATAAAGCCACCAGACAGTAATGATGGCTCAAGGATAGGAAACCTGTAGTCTGGCTCCCAAGTCCTCACTTGTTATTATTATGTTTTGTGTTCTCTTGGTTATTGATGTGTATGGTTTGATCTAAAATGTCCCCCCAAATTCTCGTGTGTGCACAGGTAGAGGTCTTCAGAAGGTGGCTGGATCATGAGGGCTTCTGCTTCATCTATGGACTAATCCATTGATGAGATCAGAATTTAATGTCATTGATGGAAACTTAGAAGTTGGGGGGGCTGGGGATTTAGCTCAGCGGCATAAGCACCTGCCTTGCAAGCAGGCAGTCGTGAGTTCGATCCCTGGTACCAATAAAAAGGAAAAAGACCAAAAAAAAAAGAAACTTAGAAGTTGGGGCCTAGTTGGAAGGAGTGGATCAGGGCAGTGTGACCTTGGGGACTGTATATCTCTAATCAATGCATGTTAATGACAGGATGGTGATACCCACTTGGGGGGGATTGGCCCCTGCATATAACATATCTTGATCATTTTCGGTTTGGATTACCCCGCCTCTCTTTTTCCTCTGCCTTCCCTAACCCCCTTTCCCATCTCCAAGAGTCTATTTTTTAGTTCTCTATCATCTCTCCTTCACTTCAGTCATTTATTTATTTACATATATTTACTTACATTTTATGCTTTTTGTGTAAGAAAACATGTTCAGGTTTCTGAGTCTGGCTTATCTTGCTTAGTTTGATGGTCTTGACTTCCATCCCTTTTCCTCCAAATGGCATGATTTCATTGTTCTTTGCAGCTGGCTAATATTCTCCTGTATATGTCTAGCACATTTTCATTATTCATTCATCTGTTCAAGAGCATCCAGGCTGTTTCCACAGTTTAGATATTGTGCATTGACCTGCAAATGTGAGTGTGTATCAGTGGGGTATGATTTTTTTTTATTCTTTCAGGACTATACCCAGGAGCAGTGTAGCTAGTCAAATGGTATTTCTATTTTTGCTTTGGGGGCCATCTCCATACAGATTTTTATAGTGGTTGTATGAGTTGACATTTCCAGTACAGTGTAGGAGGGTTCCTCCTCCTCCTAACCTCACATCCCTGCCGACATTCATTGTGTGTGTGTGTGTGTGTGTGTGTGTGTGTGTGTGTGTGTGTGTTTGTGTCTATGTGTGTGATTCTTAATGATTGTTATTCTGATTGGGGTGAGAGAGAATCTCAGAGTAGTTTTGTTTTGCATTTCCCTACTAGCTAAAGATGTTGAATGTTTTTTAATATGTTTATTGGCCATTTATATTTCTTTTGAGAAGTGTCTACTTAATTCATTTGCCTATTTTTCATTGGATTATTTGTTTGGGAGGGGTTCCTTCTTTATAGTCTAGATAACCTGGATAGTAGATCTCTATGAGAAGAATAGCTAACAGAAAATTTCTCCCATTCTGAGGGATCTCTCTTCGCTATTTTGATTATTTCCTTTGCTGTGCAGAAGCTTTTAATTTGATATAGTTGATTCTTGCTATTATCTCCTCTGTGACTCAAGTCCTATTCAGTAACTTTTTGCCTGTGCCCCTGGTCTCAAGTGTTTCCCCTATATTATCTTCCAGCAGTTTCAAAGTTTTTGGCTTTATATTTGGGTTTTTGATTCATTTCAATTTTATTTTAGTACAGGACAAAAGATGGGGTTTCTCCCACTCTCTTTGGCTACTCTTCTTTGGAGTATCACTAGGTCCTCACCAGCAGGGCCAGCAGTGGTCCCCTGTGTTCTGCCCCAGCCCAGCCTCAGGGTCACTCCAGGTAAACCCACCGATACCTGTACCTCTGTATCTCTGCCTGCAGCCCAGTACCCTGAACTCCTGTGCTGATATCTCCTGATATCTACCAGACACCTACTGGCCAGTCCCTCAAAGTTGTTAAAGCAGCATGTCTGAAACAGAACTTCTATTCCTTCCTTTTTTAATATTCTGTCTCATTTGATGATACCACTGTCTACCCAGAATCACTACCAAGAAATTTGTGGCATCTCTTTCATACCACATATCCTGTAGAGTTCCAGATCCTACCAGTTTTGCCTCTTGAATATTTCCAAGATGGTTTCCCTCATCTGCGTCTGTGATCACCTGGCCGCCTGGAGAAACCATGGTGGTCCGTCCGCTTCTGTCTTGCCCTGTCAGATCTGTGTGCTTCCTTTACTCACCTGCTCTGTCTCCAAATCCCCAACACCAGCTAGGAACTCAGCAGCTTCTGTGCGAGGAACCAGGGACAAATATCAAACATTTATGATTTATCATAATCCAATATAAAAACCTGGCCATATATTCCTATACTTTAAAAATTCTAGAATAAAACAAAATAGAAATGGTTTAGAGCTTTCTAAGTCTGCCCCTGGAGGCTTCCCATCCATTTTTCTGGGTCTGAAGCTGATACCTTTAAAGGACTTAGGAGAAAGCCATTCCCAGAGGAACTGGGGGCCCACCCCCAATAGTCCACTCTGGGAGCTGGGATTAGAGTGCAAAAAGTGTGGATTTCTGGATGTGCTTGTATATTTTTTCATATTCATTATCCTGTACTTTGTGCTTAAATACATATTTTTCCTATGCAGTAGATAAAATATTAGAATCATTCATGGCATTGTATTTGCAGTACTGGGGATTAAACCCATGAGCTTTCACTGAGCTACAGCCACGCTTTTAAATTTTATTTTGAAGCAAGGTCTTGCTAAGTCACCATGTTATATAGGTTTGCTAACACCTGTGATCCTCCTAGTGTGATTATAAGTATATTTCACCACGCTCACCTCACATGACTCTTGATTCACTGTTTTCATTATATTTAGGAATTACTAATAGTCTCCTAATTAAG